ACTGGCGCTCCCCACCCGTGGCTCCCTGTGCGCCGGAAGCCCTCCTTCCGGGGAACGACGAGGCGGGGAGTGAGTCGCTGGTCCAAAGAGAAAAAGTTTTTTAAAAGATTGACGTCTCACTCCCAAATCATACCCACTAATGAAATATTCCATCTCTATCCAGACATTTATGTGTGTGTATACAGTATATCCAACGCTATTTCATGACCTGCTTTGCCACTTTTCTCAGTGGTACATAGTTGACTTTTGGTTGTAGACACCTTCCTAAAAATTCTTGCCTTCTTTTTAATAATCAATACTATTCTTTTACAACGTGATATTATAGTTTTCAGTAGCCTTTTTGTTAATTTTAATTAAATAATGTGTGCAAAAATTAACATATGTATATACCAGACATGATGATACATGCCTGTAGTCCCAGAACTTGGGAGGCTGAGGCAGGAGGATCATGGTGAGGTCAAGGCCAGCCTAGGCTACTGTTAACATTTCATTTCACAAGACCAGCATGCATTACATAGTAAGACCCTGTCTCAAAATAAAACAAAACAAAACAACTAACATACTCACATAGCAAATGGTACTGAAAAGTTTAAAACAACAAACATGAATCTCTTACCTGTTTCCCACTTTTTTTTTTTTTTTTTTGGTTTTTCTCCGGTACCAGGAACCGAACTCACAACCTTGCGCTTGCCAGGCAGGCTCTTTGCCGCTGAACTAAATCCCCAGCCCCTGTTTCCCACTCAATACAGCTCCTCAGAGGCATCCATTCTCACTTATTTCCTCTAACATTTGCTTTTATATTTCTAAAAATACTAATATTACTGTGTCTTACTTTTTCCAGTTTAGATATTGCGTATCAAAATCCTATTATGCTTTTAGCCTGCCTTCTTCCTTGATCCTCCCAATATAATTCCATCACAACTTTTTTTTTTTCCTGGTACTGGGAATTGAACTCACGACCTTGTGCTTGCTGGGCAGGGCACTGTGTCATTGAGCTAAATCCCCAGCCCCTCCATCACAATTTTGGTTAATTTTTTTTTTAAGTGTATGTGTGTGGTACCTAATAGTTACATTCATTTTGAGGAATTGATATATAAAATTCCATCACAATTTTGGCTAAAATTCTTTTTAATATATTGTCTTGGTTACTTTTCTGTCATTGCTGAGACAAAATATCTGTGCCCAAAATGGAGGAAGGAAAGGTTTATTTAGCTCACAGTCTGTGGAGGTTTCAGTCCATACTTGGCTGACTCCAAGGCAGAGTGGCACATGGCAGAGGGCAACAGTTCACGGCAGTGGAAAACAGCAAAAGCAACAGGAGGAGCTGCGGGAAGCAGCCTCTTTCTCTCCCTTACATATGCAAACTACCCACCCAGGGGCAGGTGTAACACTCACACCTGTAGTCCCAGCATTGGACCATAAATCAATCATAAATCTAGAACCCTGCCCCATGACTGTGTGAGGCTTTAGGGAGACATGTGGACACAAACCATAACATGTATTTTGTGATATCTGACAGTTACATTCATTTGAGGAATTGACATGTAGAATTTCTTGATCAGTTTTGATCCCTTAACCCTGACATTTGGTTTTTATGTTATTAAGACTATGCAAATATTGTCATTATGCTACTGTTACATTTCATTTCACATGCAAAACTTCGGTGTTTTGAAGTTAATTACTGGCTCATAGTTTTTTATTTGCTTAATTTTCTATGTGCTTATCTTTAATTCCACATTTCCAGCATGCTCATACATTTTTGTTTGTTTGTTTTTTGGTCTTTCTGAGACAGGGTCTCACTGTGCAGTTCAGGCTGGTCTTGAGCTCACTTTGTAGTCCAGGCTGGCTTGGAATTTAATGATCCTCCTGCCTCAGCCTCCCAAAGGCTGGGATTGCAGGCACCCCTACGCTCCCTCTCTCTCATACAGTTTTCTAGGCGATCATATATACTAACTTCTACTTTCCTTTTTTTCCCTTTGAGACTTATTTTTAGAACTCTCTGTCTTTTATCAGTCTCAACCAGTCATTTCTTCTAACTAGCCTATTTGTAATCATGTTTTTAATTTCCAAGGATTTCTTTCTTTTCTTTCCTTCTTTGTTTTTTCAGACAGGGTTTCTCTATGTACTTCAGACTTGCCTTGAACTCACTATGTAGCCCAGGCTGGCTTTAAACTTGTGGGGGTCCTCCTGCATCAACATCTCAAGTGCTGGAATTACACTTGCTTGCAACCATACCCAGCCTACCCCACCCCACTGCTTTTTGGAGACAGGATCTTGCTATTCAGGCTTGGCTAGCCTTGGACTAAGCCTTTACTTGCATAGGTTAGTCTTGAACTCTTGACCCTCCTGCTTCCTCCTCCCACATGCCGGGATTACAGGCAGGTGCTACCATGGCTAAATCCAAGAGTCTTTTTTCTTATTCTTTGTTTGTTCCTTTTTATGCCACATATTTCATAACACGTTTCTATGGATTCAATAGTGTCTCATCTCTGAATGTTATATAAATTTCATTCTTGAAACCTACAATTTTGTATTTTTTCATTTTTGGAGGGTAGTTACTGATTTTTTGAAAATTATTTTTATTAGTATGTGTGTACAGTCCATCATAAATACATTAAGTGTGAAGAATTAGTGCACATATACCCAAGAAAGAATCTATGGGTATCTTACCTTGGAGTAAAAATGGTGGAGGGGGAGTAGGAGTTATTTGCTAGTAACGTATGCGGTAGGCCAGGGCTGCAGACCAGAGTCTTCATACTTTAGTAGATGGAGTTTTTCTTTACAGTGTTCTCACTTACAAGCCTCTTGTCCTCTTTTGAGTTAAGTGTCGCTGAGGTTGAATTCTCTGGTTCAGATTTCACAAAAAATAAACTTGCTTCTTGTGGTTGGGGCGGGAAAGGGAAGTTGTCCAGCTGCACAGGCTGTGTACGTGGAGATGTGGTTCTTGTGTGTTACTGCTTTATTAAGAGTCTTTCAGTGAGTACCCTCAGTTTTGACCCTGTTCCTCACCCCACCATCTATAGTAGCTGATGCTTCTCAGTGCTGAAGCTTCCTAGGGTTTTGGAAGGCCAAGGCAACTTGTTCCAAAATTCGTTACCTTCCCTGGCAAGGACTTACACACCAGCTTCTTTTCATTTTCCCCTACAGCATAGACTTACACTTCCGTAAAAGTATTTTGGTTTGTTTTTATTTTTCATATCATAATGTAGAGTAGCTGCTTAGGAAATACTGGAGTAAAATTTTATCTTCCTTCTCTTGGGATTCATTCCTGCTCTTTTGGGATTCGTTCCTTTTGGAACTCATTCCTGCTCCTGGGATTCATTCCTCTAAGTTTTTCTGAAGACAGGAAACCATAACCATTTCACTTCTCGGGTGTCCTAGAATGTGCAAAGAAGTCAGTGTGTGGCTTCCAGAAGCAGAACAGTTTTAAAGTTTTTCTTTACTATTGGTACATGTTCTAACTCCTGTCTGCAGGGAGAGATAAAAGCTGGGTATTATCAGGTTCTTCAAAGCATTATAATATAACTATAGTCTATTCTAGTGATTCCTACATGAAAAGAGATATACATAAAGTACTTAAGTTATTTAGTAATGTACATGATGAAGCAGAAGTTCATTCATTCCCACATGTTTAATAGCCAAAGACAAAACTAGAAATGACTATTAAAGAGGTCAGATGTTTACCAGTAATAGATTGGTAAATAAATAAATATAGCCATTCAGAAGAAGATAGACTTCTAAATCCAGCATGAAAGTGTCTATTAACTTTTAAGTTTAAAAAAAATATAATGTGCATGCTATTTATAGTATTCTTTACTTGGGTTTTTGAAAAAAAAAAATATGTACAAGTGTGTATCAGCCTAGAATATTTCTTGAAGGATATACAAGTAACCTTAGGGTAGCCTTAGGAGAAGATCTGGAGAATTAAAGCACAAAGGAATGTTACCTTTTGGTGTATAATCCTTCATATTACTTACTTTTGTGGCATATTTTTGATGTAAAAATGATCTATTAATAAAGGAATGGCTTGACATAAAATACAATCTTTTTGAAGAAGCTTAGAAATGGAATTTGCTGGGCATGACACCAAAACTCAAGTCAAGTGACATTTCTTTCTCAGCTTATATAGGGTAATCTATAGATTTGGTTAACAAGTAGAGAATAATAATAAAGTGTGAAATCTTTACATGGTCTTGAAGGCCTCCCTTTGGCTTCTTTTCCTACCACTCTGCTGATATCCATCACTGTAGCCCTGCTCACCTGCTTATCATCCTCATACTGCCAGGCCCAGCCCTGCCTAAGAGCCTTTGCCTTCTGATTTTACTACCTGTACCTTTTCCCTCTAGATATAAGCAGGCTGTGACCATGTTACCTCCTTTAGGTTCTTGCTTAGGTATCACCTTACACAGAGGCCTTCCCACTGATCTCTATACCAGAACATACTAATAGAGTGTCGTAGCTCAGGCTTCTAGAGCCAAGACATCATCAAATGAGGGACAAACAGCAAAAATTTATTTCTCACAGTTGTGAGATCTGGGAAGGTCCAGGATCAATACTGGGTTCCTGATAATGTCCTCAGCTGGTAGACAGTGAGATGTTACCTCTGTCTCTTCTTATAAGGCCACTAATCCCGTTTGTGAGGGTGTCTTGGTTACTTTTCTCTTGTTGCTGAGACAAAATACCCAACGCCCAAAATGAAGGAAGGAAAGGTTTATGTAGCTTACAGTTTGTGGAGGTTTCAGTCCATACTTGGCTGGCTCCGAGGCAAAAGATAACAAAGCAACAAGAGCAAAGGGGGGAATGGCAGCTGAACAGCAAAGCAGCCAGAGCAAAAACTGGAGGAATGGCAGGCAAGCAACTTCTTTTTCTGCCTTACATTGTAAACAGACTACCCCCACCTAAGGGGCGTGTAGCTCTCACATAATCTCCATGCCCTCCTCTTCCACAGGCTCAGGATGTATACAAAGTAAGCACCCTGGCTTCCTGCTGAGTCACTTAGCCAAAGCTCTAGACTCCCCAAGTTGACACAGTGTATCAACCATAACAGAGGGCTGCATCCTTGAGAGGTTTTGACCTCTCAGTGGCCCCAGCTCCAAATGCTGTTACACCGGAGCATTAGGATTTCAACATACAAATTTGGGCTGGGGGATACAAATAGTTCATAGTGCAGAGTAAGCTCTACCATCACTCTAGCCCCCTCTTTACCCTGGCTTACTTTTCTTTGTACTAATTCTTGTGTATCTATGTGTAATCTTGGTATTAGTTATTTTACATATACAGGTATATTTATATTCTTCAAGGACCTGTACTTGGTTTGTTTTACTGCTATATCCCAGTGACTCAAACAGAGGCTGACATAGTAAATGCCCAATCGGTACTTAGTAAATGGAAAATGAGCAGTAGAAGCTTTTGAATATGGTGCATATATTAAAGTTTGAAAAGTTACATATAACGCATATGAAATAAACCCAAAGCTTTTAAGTTCTTTTGGCACTGAAACTTTTAAATGGTTTTCTTTGGCAGAGCAAGAATATGATCCTGGACCAAGCCTTTAAATATATAACAGAACTGAAAAGGCAAAATGACGAGCTCCTGCTGAATGGAGGCAACAATGAGCAAGGTAAAGGAAAGTTGAGATTGATATTTGTTATTATTTGTTAATATTTGTTAATTTGTAGGCCTTGTGTGATAGGGTAACTTACTTTAGGAATACACTAGGTTTTCCCCCAGAAAGACATTACTAAGACCCCACATTCAAGGGGCTTGGGAGAATAATGTTATAAGTAAAATCATTATAGAGTAACTCCTGTCTACCTCTGTGAGCAGCTACATTCATAACTTTGACTTTGAACACTTTTGTGTACTTCATGTTTGCCTAACTCATGATACTAATAATATTAATAATACTAAATCTCTTCTCTTCCAGTTGGATCTTGCATCTAGGAAAATCCCATAAGAGGATATAGGGAGGAATTTTCAGTATCATTTAAAAACAGGAGAAGCCTGTGCCTACGATAACTCAAAAGGCCAAAAATGTTTATTTCCTAATTGTTTACATTGATATGATGTGTGCAGCAGCCTGCCTGATTACTTAAGGATACTTGATTTTTACATAGAGGTGGCTTTTATTTTAATACTGCGAAATGAGTTCTGTTTTTCTACCAGCATTGGTGAGACAATGAAAAGAAAAATGTCCCAGGCAAATATTAAGCTGAGGATGGTAGACCAGTTTGAATTTTCCTTTATTTATGGCTCTGACAAGAGCAGAGAGAATGTCCTGTGACAGCTCAGTAGGCCACCTTAAAAGGAGAGAAACAAAGCAGAACTCACTAAGGTAGGGACAGAGCTGGGCTATGTTTATTGTAATGGTTGGGAAGGATCTTTGAAAGCATATCTATGAGTCAGCATTCAGAATTCTCTGTTTAATTTATTAAATAACAGCCCTCCCTCCTCCAGGTCACCTGTGTTTTATGGCCCAGGCCCTTAGACCTGAGCTGCCAGATAGACATAAGAATACGTGCTTGGGGCCGGGAATGTAGCTCAGCGGCACAGCGCCTGCCTGGCAAGCATGAGGCCCTGAGTTCAATTCCCAGCACCAAAAAAAAGAATATGTGTTTGGTAGCCACTGTGAGACACCTCACAAAAGAGATGGCAAGGCCAGAGTTTTCTAATGAAGGCTCCTTTGAGTTCAAAGCACAGAAGCTAAGGCAGTCAAGTGACTTAGGGAAAGCCAAAGGTATTGCAAAGATACCAGGTGAATGGGACTTAGAAAAAACCTGAGTAGCTAGGCCAGGGGCGGGGCCTACACCTGAAGCAGCTTAAGTTTGGCTACATTGCTGTCTGTGGCATTACTGTATCTCTGCTTCTTCCTGTGCATCTTGCTGTGTCCCCTTTTTGTGTCTACGTGGCTTCTCCCTTACTCTCCACTTGATGGTCCTGCACAGAGTCAAAGCAGTGGCCTTCGAGTCAGGCCCACCTGCTTGGAGTCGCAGCTCCGTTTTTGCACTAGGTACCTTTTGGCCAGTTACTTAACCTCTCTATGCCTCAAGTTTCCCTATCTTCTACCTGGCTGATTTTAGGCAAATGATGTAACTACTCTGAGCCTGTTTCTTGCCGCTAAAGCTGATGATAATGATAGATAGCTTTCATCTCGCGGTTCTTATGAAGATTAAAAGAGCTGTTACAGGTAAAGCATTTAGACTAAAGCCCCGCACACAGTAAATCTTGATAAATGTTAGCTGTTATCATTGTCAGTGAATGAGACAATGAATGAAAGTACCAGTAAGTAAATGTTCACTGAGAGCAAAGATCATTATTATTTGGCTCATAATGATTGACCTATAATTTTTAATAGAAACAGTACACTGACATCTTTTGTTTCTTTATTTAAAAATCTGAGAAGAATGATCTGCTAGTCTCAGCTCATCCTTGCTGAAATGGAGCTTTTCATTTCAGGCTGCCTCACAGGCCATGATCCTTGAGGATGGGCTGCCTTTGATGGGGTAGGGATGTGAATGCCTGTTATTGTGGCCAGGCAGATGGGAATGTAAGGGGTTGCAGAGCATAAGTATCATTAGCCAAAGCTGTCCCCATAGCAAGGCTGTGGGTGAAGCTATCTCCCTTAGAAAGGACAGGGCTGTTGCAGACCTTCATTGCTCAGCAGTGTATCTGCCTTGGCCCTAACAAGGGAAACTGCAGATCCACTGTCAATATTTCTTTGATGCTCCACCAACTTAACAGCTGACATACTCTCATTCCTTTCAGTCTCCGTTGTTTCAAGGGGTAAAATAGAAACTAAAGCCATTTATGAGATAGTTGATTACCACCACGAGTCATGTTAGCTGTTTCAGCACTTAAGTGGCATCATAGGGACATTTTCCTAGTATAGTACTATGATGTCAGTATGTCTTCCTGTGCTTCATCTATGTAGCTGCACTGTCGGAAACTTTTGGATTGGGAATTTTGAGATTTCTACATTGTGAATGATTTTCTAGTGGTGAGCCTTTAAAAATACATACATTTAAAAGGATGCAATAGGTGTTTGAAATAACATTCTTAAAAGAAGAAAAAGTTTGTATTAGCAAAGTTCTGAAGATCCTCAATTGAAATATTTAGAATGCTAGAATTAGAATTCAGTAGTTTAGTACATAGCTCTTTTTCAAGTTATACTGACATGCACCTGTTTTTAACTTTCTATTTTTAATATCATAGCTGAAGAAATTAAAAAGCTACGGAAACAACTGGAGGAAATCCAAAAAGAAAATGGCCGATACATTGAATTACTGAAAGCAAATGACATATGCTTATATGATGACCCCACCATCCACTGGAAAGGAAACCTTAAAAACTCAAAGGTATCTGTTGTTATTCCAAGTGACCAGGTTCAGAAAAATATCATTGTTTATTCCAATGGGAGTCAGCCTGGTGGAAATAGCCAAGGAACAGCTGTTCAGGGGATAACCTTTAATGTTGGTCATAATTTACAAAAGCAAACAGCCAATGTGGTGCCGGTACAGAGAACTTGCAATCTTGTGACTCCTGTGTCTATTTCTGGAATTTACCCTTCTGAAAACAAGCCATGGCATCAGACCGCAGTGTCTGCATTGGCTGCCAATCAGCCTGTTCCTCTCTGTCTTCCTGCTGCCATTTCTGCTCAAAATATTCTTGAGCTTCCTGCCCCCGAAAGTGAAGCAGGTGCGCCTGGTGCCACTGGCGGCTCACTGATTGCTGTGTCAGTTGGTCCTGAACCTCGTCAGCATCCTTCCTCGCACATATGTCCAAATGATCAAAATTCTTCTGAAAATAACACTGGGTTAGACAGCACCAGATTATTAAAGAAGACAGCCCCCTGTGTCACAAGTGTCTCCCCCAGCTCCTCAGCCAATCCCACTAAAGTACACCATGGAACCAAGTCCTGCTTGAGCCTTCAAAACTGCAGAGGCGACTTGCAAAGCGCCTTTGCTGTTTCAGTTACCACGACAGTCTGGTGCCAACCTCCCAGATGTGCAGGAGATTCTGCTCCACTGAGCATTAGCAAGTGCACAGACTCGACAAATGCAACCACAGTGGTGGCAGCTGCTGCCCCTGGAGTAGGGAAGACACTCTCCGCAAGTCCTTTGGACAGTGGTTGGACGCTTTCTTGTTCTTTGCCTTCTTCAAGTGCTAGTGCTTCAGATTTGAAAAACATTAACAGCCTTACCCGAATTTCTTCAGCTGGAAACACACAGACGACGTGGACTACTTTGCAACTGGCAGGAAACACTATTCAGCCCTTAAGCCAGACACCATCTTCCACTGTGACTCCAGTATTGAGTGAGTCTGGTACCGGGCCCCCCACAAGCAACCACAGTAGCCATGTGGCTACAGGCATCAGTTTAAATAATTCCCTTCCAGCAGATGGACAGCCAAGTGAGCAAGTAGTTGTTACCTTGCCTTCTTGTCCACCTGTACCTATGCAGCCACTAATTTCCCAGCCACAAGTTAAATCGCAACCTCAAAAAAATCTCCTTCCGCTGAATTCAGCAATGCAAGTGATTCAGATGGCTCAGCCAGTTGGGTCTGCTGTTAATGGAGCTTCAGCCAATCAAAACGTTATTATTCTTCAGCCCCCCAGCACCACCCCCTGCCCAACAGTGATGAGGGCAGAGGTTCCCAGCCAAACAGTAGGTCAACAGATAGTCATCATACAGGCAGCTAATCAGAACCCGTTGCCACTCCTTTCTGCTCCACCTCCTGGTTCTGTCCGACTCCCTGTCAATGGAGCCAATGCTATAATAGGTTCTAGCAATGCAGTACAAAATGTTTCCACCCCACAGACTTTTGGAGGAAAGCATCTTGTCCACATATTACCAAGACCTTCATCTTTATCAGTATCTAATTCAACACAGACTTTTTCTGTTACCATGTCAAACCAACAGCAGCCTCAGACCATTTCTTTAAATGGACAGCTCTTTGCTTTGCAGCCTGTGATGTCTTCATCAGGAACTACGAGTCAAACCCCTATGCAAATTATTCAACCCACCACCAGCGAAGATCCAAATACCAATGTTGCCCTAAATACATTTGGTGCTTTGGCCAGCCTCAATCAAAGCATATCACAGATGGCTGGGCAAAGCTGTGTACATCTGTCTATTAGCCAGCCTGCCAATCCTCAAACTGCTGCAAACAGTCAAACCACCCCAGCTAACTGTGTTTCATTAACAACAAGTATAGCACCTCCCACGACAACAGATAATTCAGCCACACTACCCAGTACTTATAATCTTGTGACTACTTCCTCAATAAACACTGCTGCTTGTTTGCCACCAGCCATGAAGTCAAAAAGGTTGAATAAGAAGCCAGGTGCCAAGAAACACTTAGCAGCTAGCAAACCAGCATGTCCCCTGAATCTAGTCAGAGAAGTAGGCAAGTTAGACTGCCCCAGAACGGAAGGCTCAGCAGAGCCACCGTGTAGTGATGGACTGCTGGACACCCTTCCGGTTGTTCTCCCATCTGTCGCTGTGTCTGAAGCAAATAATGTGAGTGCGTCTGCTTCACATTCTTTGGATGTTCTGAATTCTGAATCAGCAATGCCTGAATCTGTATCCAAATCTAAGTCAGTAGAAGAGTCTAGTTCACCCCGCCAAGAATCTGTAACAAGTGAACATTTTGCAGCAGCCCTAGAAAAATCCAAAAATTCTATGCCCATTTTGGAACAAGAGACATCTCAGGATAGACCGCCAACTAGTTTAGGATTGTCAGATGCTACCAAATCTTGTACTTCGGCCAGCGTGTTAATTCCATCTCCAAGAGATCCCCAGATTTTGGTTTCTCAGGTTTCTGGTTTGTCATCCACCACAAGCACTACAAGTACTGACTGTGTTTCTGAAGTAGAAATCATCACAGAACCTTGCAGGGTAGAGCAAGGTTCATCAGATACAATGCAAGCTGCAGGTCTCTTGAAGGGGCAAGGTTTAACTACATTGCTATCTGATCTTGCTAAAGAAAAAGACCCTCAGAAATCATCTCTTTCAGTCCAGATCAGTCACCCTGACTTTTCTTCAGAAAATGGTAAGGTAGCCGATGCCAGTGTGGATTTACATCCTAAACAGGAACTATTGCTGTTGAGCAGTGAAGACAGAGATCCACCACAGCAGCATTCCTGCCTGCCCGATCAGGAAGTTATGAATGGTTCTCTGCTCACCAGGCAGGCTGACTCTCCCATGTCAACCAGCTCCGGCAGTAGTCGTAGCTTCTCAGTTGCATCCATGCTTCCTGAGACAACTAGAGAAGATGTGACCAGCAGTACAACAACTAATACTTGTGACAGCTGTACCTTTGTAGAGCAAACTGATATAGTAGCTCTTGCAGCAAGAGCTATTTTTGACCAGGAGAACATTGAGAAGGGGAGAGTTGGCATCCAGGCTGATATAAGAGAGGTTGCTTCAAAGTCTTCTGAAACATCGTCTTTGGAGGGAGACCAGCCTTTCAAGTCGCACATCCCTAAAGAGAATGGTACCGGACAAAGGGAAACAACAGCGAATGAATTTAACTCTCAGGATTCAATTGAAGTAACAGTGGAAAGACCCCTTGAAAAACCAAGTTGTTCTCTAGGAAGTAAAACATCAAATGCCTCCTTGCAGGCTGCTTCTTCGCAGCCACCAAGCCTCACCAGTTTAAGTGTGAATAATCTTATCCACCAGAGCAGCATAACCCATCCTCTGGTCAGTTGTGCGGGTTTATCTCAAACTTCGGACCAAACAACTGTTCCTACGACAGTGAATCTGACTGTTTCGTCTAGCGCCTACAGCAGCCAGCCACCTGGACCATCTTTGATGACAGAATATTCCCAAGAACAGCTAAACACTATGGCTAGTACCATACCAAATTCACAGATTCAAGAGCCCCTTCTAAAACCAAATCATGAAAACCGTAAAGATTCTGCCAAGCGTGCTGTCCAGGATGACCTGCTGTTGTCATCCACCAAACGTCAAAAACACTGTCAGCCAGCCCCGCTCAGGCTTGAAAATATGTCCCTGATGAGCCGAACTGCAGATAGCATTCCTGACCAAGCTCAGATGATGGTTAGCCAGCTCCCTCCCAGCTCTTCTAACACAGTCGTGCCTGTTAGCAACCCAGCACACGGAGATGGGCTTACACGGCTGTTCCCACCTGCCAACAACTTTGTGACCCCTGCACTGAGGCAGACGGAAGTTCCTTGTAGTTCTCAGCCTTCAGTGGCTGAGCAGCAGCAAACCCAGGCAAGTCAGCATCTGCAGGCCCTGCAACAGCATGTTCCCCCTCAAGGGGTTTCTCACCTTCACAGTAACCATCTCTACATCAAGCAGCAGCAACAGCAGCAAGCAGGGCAGTTAAGAGAGAGACATCACTTGTATCAACTGCAGCACCATGTGCCTCATGTGGAGAATGTTGTTCACTCTCAGCCCCATAGTGTGCACCAACAGAGAACGCTGCAGCAGGAGGTTCAGATGCAGAAAAAGAGGAATCTTGTTCAGGGCACTCAGGGCTCTCAGCTTTCCCTACAACCAAAGCACCATGCAACTGACCAGTCTCGACCCAAGAGCGGTCAGCCGCATCCGCATCATCAACAGATGCAGCAACAGATGCAGCAACACTTTGGAAGTTCCCAGCCAGAGAAGAGCTGTGAAAACCCTTCAGCTAGCCGGAACCACCACAGCCACCCCCAGAACCATCTCAGTCAAGATATTATGCACCAGCCACAGGATGTTGGGAGCAGACCACAAGGTTCAGGGGTCTCTTCTGAACATGTATCTGGGCACAATCCAATGCAGAGGCTTTTGACATCAAGAGGCTTAGAGCAGCAAATGGTGTCCCAACCGAGCATTGTGACTAGGTCTTCAGACATGACTTGTACTCCACACAGGCCAGAGAGAAATCGGGTTTCAAGTTACTCTGCTGAGGCACTCATTGGAAAGACATCTTCTAATTCAGAGCAGAGAATGGGTATATCAATTCAAGGTTCCAGAGTTTCAGATCAGCTCGAAATGAGAAGCTATCTTGATGTTCCCAGAAATAAGAGCTTGGCAATTCATAACATGCAGGGTCGTGTGGACCATACTGTTGCCTCGGATATCCGTCTTTCTGAGTGTCAGACATTTAAACCAAGTGGAGCCAGTCAGCAGCCCCAGAGTAATTTTGAAGTGCAGTCTTCAAGAAATAATGAAATAGGTAACTCTGTATCGTCACTGAGGAGTATGCAGTCCCAGGCTTTTCGAATTAGTCAAAACACAGGGCCACCGCCAATTGAGCGTCAAAAGAGATTACCTTACCCACCAGTTCAGAGCATCCCAACAGGAAATGCTATCCCGCCAAGGGACAGTGAAAATACGTGTCACCAAAGTTTCATGCAGAGTTTACTTGCCCCTCACCTTGGTGATCAGGTCATCGGGAACCAGAGATCAGTCTCAGAACATCAGAGGAATACACAGTGTGGCCCGTCCTCTGCAGTTGAATATAATTGTCCCCCAACTCATGAAAGTATCCATATTAGAAGAGATAGTGAGAGTCAGAATAGAGAAAGTTGTGACATGTCGTTAGGTGCAGTTAACACCAGGAATAGTACCTTGAATATTCCCTTTTCAAGTTCCTCTTCCTCAGGAGATATTCAAGGTCGAAACACAAGTCCCAACGTTTCTGTACAGAAGTCTAATCCCATGAGGATTACTGACAGTCATGGGACCAAGGGCCACATGAACCCTCCTGCTACAACCAACATGCATGGGGTTGCAAGGCCAGCTCTGCCACATCCCTCTGTGTCTCATGGAAATGCCGACCAAGGGCCTCCTGTACGTCAGGCTAATACTTCAGTTCCCCAGAGGTCAAGACATCCCTTGCAAGACAGTGGTAGCTCCAAAATTCGTCCACCTGAAAGGACTCGTTCTGGAAACCAAAGACATAGTAATGTCTTTGATCCAAGTCTTCCCCATCTCCCTCTCTCTACTAGTGGCAGTATGATTCTTGGACGTCAACAGCCTGCTACAGAGAAGAGAGGAAGTATTGTTCGCTTCATGCCAGACAGCCCACAAGTACCTAATGATAATTCAGGTCCTGACCAGCATTCACTGTCACAAAATTTTGGTTTCCCTTTTATTCCTGAGGGTGGCATGAACCCACCAATAAATGCTAATACTTCTTTCATTCCACAGGTCACTCAGCCCAGTGCCACTCGAACTCCAGCCCTCATCCCAGTAGATCCCCAAAACACTCTGCCCTCTTTCTATCCCCCCTATTCCCCTGCCCATCCTACACTGTCCAATGATATTTCAATCCCCTACTTTTCTAACCAAATGTTCTCAAATCCTACCACAGAGAAAGTCAACAGTGGAAGTTTAAATAACCGATTTGGATCCATTTTATCTCCTCCCAGACCTGTTGGCTTTGCTCAGCCAAGTTTTCCTCTTCTCCCTGACATGCCGCCAATGCACATGACCAACTCTCACTTATCTAACTTTAATATGACATCCTTGTTTCCTGAAATAGCGACCGCTCTTCCTGATGGCTCAGCAATGTCACCTTTGCTTACAATAGCAAACTCCTCTGCCTCTGACTCTTCCAAGCAGTCCTCAAACAGACCTGCCCATAACATAAGCCATATTTTAGGTCATGATTGCAGTTCAGCTGTCTGAGTAGACGAAGTATGTGTGAAGGTACTGGGTGAGGTTGCAAATGTATGTGTGCATGTTCACACGCTTGTATGTTCACAAAGAGAGGGTGTGTATGTGTGTCTTTGTGCATCTTTTTTCTCTTTGTGGTTGTATAATCAGTTTTCAGTTAATGCTCTGAATACCAGGGAGGCCATGTCAGAGATGAGAACTTGTCAAAAACAAGTTAGCTTTCATTTTTAACTGCACAGTGTACTTTTTTTTATCTTTGAAGTCAATTTACATTTCTGTGCTTGATTTGTAATTTTATAGTCTCTGAATATTAATCAAGTAGAGGTGAAGGGCGATCATCTTGGCGATGTGTTGGGTAGAAGAAAGGAGCTGAGATTTGAAACTTGATTGTTGATAATTTTTAATGTACTTGTAGTAGAGTTGCTGTCTCAAAATACGGGCAACTTGATGAGACACAGTGACTCATAATGAGATGCTGGCTGGTAATATCTAAAGCAGTTTTTTACACCATGGTCAGTGTTGAATTAATGTCAAATGAACATCTTTGCTAGAGTCAAGCATTTGGCAGATAAACGGATTATTTAATCAGCCTTGTTCCCCAGGGTTGGTTTAGGTAGAGGCTTCTTTCTTAATTGTAATTTTCATAAAATATCTGAAATCCATGAATTGTTCTTCAAAGTAGGGAGTCATTTTCCTTGAATGTGCCAAGATCCTTTAAAGCAAAAGTCTTCCTTAGACAGTTAGCCTTAAAAATAGACCTGAAAAGTAAAGTACATAAATATTTTTCATTTCTGTACTTGCAGTTTGCATCAGGCCATAAGGATAAAAGTAGTTACACTATAGAGGTTTTTATGAGTTCATTTAATGATTGGTGTCTCACCAGTTGAATTTTTTGGCTTTATCTCCCCCTGATGTTGGGAGTTGAATTTATGCTAGGCAAGCACTGTAGCACTGACCTACATCCCCAGCCCTCAGCTGAGTTTGGTTTAGTATTCTTTCTTTTCCATCGGTAAATGATGTGTTCAGAATCTACACATTTATTTGAGCTTTACTGATAAATATTTCTGAACAGAATTTTAAGCCCTCAGTATTTTCATTAACTGATATAAATTATATTTTAAATATGGCATTGTATGTTACGTTATTACCCTTCATAACGGAATTACAATAAGATGAATTTGTTATTTTTTTTAATGGTAGATGTGTGAAATGGTGCTTCAAAAAAGTACATATGTACTGTGTGTGTGTGAATGTGTGAGAGTATGTATGAAACCAGATTTTAAAGCATAAACTGGTCCTTACTATTCTACAGTGTATAAATATTTCAGAATGTTACACATGATAAATACATACAATTTTATGTCAATGAAAAATAAATAAAATTTTTAAAAAATTGGCCTGCCATCTGAAAATGGGAAATTGAAACTTGCTAAAAAAAAAATAGAAAAATGATGTGGGTGGAGTTTTTTAAAAACCCCTCTGAAGTTAATAGTAAATTGAAAAAAACATATATTGAATTTTGAAAATGTAAGAAAACTTAAGAAAGCAGCTGCTGTATGTATACTTAGTTTCTTAAACCTGTTGAACCTGACTTTTTATTGTTTTATTCTGCCAAAAATGAAATGGGGTGGAAGATATGCATATAAATTGTCCTGTCTGCTGTGTTAAGGAGCGAACCCAGGGCCCAGCATGTTTTTTCCATCCTAAGGAAGCCTCCTATGGCCTGGTCAGAGCAGTTACCTCCAATGAATACCTCGTCTGAAGACTCAGCGAAAGGGTTGTTTGTGCCTCTTGAACTGTTCTCACCAAACATTCCTGTTTCTGCTGCCAACTAAAGCAGCTCCCCAGGGGCGAAAAAAAAAAAAAAAAAGTGTGAACAAAAGAAACCTGTGTTGTCTCCCTTCAAAAAGGTCTTGGAGAAGAACAAGAGAGCTTCGTGAATAAGTTACTTAAGTAGGTGGATAAACACAGCAGTTAAAACTTTCTGTTCTGCATAAAAAGCAAAACTCCTGACTACTTTTTTTAATTCTCTGAGTTTTAAACTTTAACATTCAGCTTTTAATTTGTACTTGAAGCCTCGAATCTGCCAGTTTCAGGAAGGGCAGTTTTCTGTGTGTCTGCTGTTCATTCTCCCTCTCTCTTCTCATTCTGCTTCTCTGTCTCTCACACACACCCACACCTCCCAGTGGCTGTTGAGTTCTGAAGAACTAGGCTGCTAGGTCTGGCTGGAGCTAAGGTATTGGCTGAGGAGATTTTTTATTTTTCATTTTTTGAGGTGGAGTCTGACTGAGTTGCCCAAGCTGGTCTCAGACTCCTGGGCTGAAATAACCATCCTGCCTCAGCCTGCTGAGTGGTTAGGACTCTAGGCGTGCGTCACCACGCCTGACACAGAAACTCGCTTTGAGTATTGCAGCACGGTCTTCCTCTTGCCTTGATTGCATTTTACTGCTCAGCTGTGCATTTGCATTTTCTCAGAACTGTCATTCCAAGGATTTAATACTTTGCTATTGAATGAGTCTCAGGAAGGCTTATTTGACCACCTAAGGAAAGATGTGGCCATCTGCAGATCACTGGGCTCCTGCTTCATGCAGCTCTACCTTACAGACATAATGCATTATGTTATGGATCATTTTGTAAATGGGCTGAATTCTGTAAGTGTTCACACCATAATATTCTTATTTGATTTTAAAGCATAAGCACTTACCAGCAGTATTATTTTTTTTAAGTTAGAGCTACATGATTTGGGGGGAAGAAATTTGCTATCTACTACCTTGTGATAATCTGGACATGTATTTGGTAAAGGAATGGCAGAAAATGCAGTCAGTTTTGCTTATAGTAAATTTAATACTATTTTTGGCTTGCTAACATGACTCTGTAAACCAAATAATTTTGTAACTTACTGAAATCCACATATGTCTGAGTCATAAGTGAGTCACTGGTTAAATCACTTCTCTTTTGCATTATTGATCATGTACACTCAGTTATGGAAAGTGGCTGATTCCTTTCAACATCTAACAGTAAGTTCTAATGTGAAACATTTCATTTCTCTTCATGTATTAATGTCAGCGAGTTTGTTAAATACGTCAGTCAGAGATGAAATAAACCCATCTTGATTTTTTGAAAATACAGGTTGCTTTGGGGTGTCACAGGTTTTATATCACTGCAGGAAATTTATTTTTGTTTTTATTGTAAGAACTTTTGGGCTACCAGAGGTAGCATCCTTTTTCTAAGTGAGACGTGAGATTTCCACAGTGATCATGATTTATGAAATTTAACTGAACTGTGGAAGTGGAGGGAATGTGTTTTGTAGCAATTTCTAGTCACATATCAGGATTATGTTGAACTACAGTGGAGATCAGCTTCTTAAAATCAGCTTTCTTAAAGTAGAGAATTATGCCATTTGTCTTGTTCTTGCCTTCTAACATTAGACTTTCTATGGAGAGGTGAAAACTTGTACTCCAAAAAAAATGTGAAAGCACATTTTAGTGAAAGTAAAGTTTAAAATCTTGCAAAAGGGTAAAGACTTACTAATAGGCATTTTTTCAGCTTTCTTCTTCCTTTGATACATAGGTACTTAGGCTTTTCTTTTTTGTCTTTTTGAGACAGAATCTTGCTATGCAGTTCAGGCTGCCTTGAGCTCACTTTGTAGCCCAGGCTGGTCTTGAACTTGCAGTGATCCTCCTGCCTCAGCCTCCTGAGTGCTGGGATTACAGGTGTGCGCCAACATGCCCGGCTTCTTATTTTCTTCCATGTTCTCTGTGTCAGTCAGGTGACAGGGAGCCCCGTCATTTCTTTAGCAAGATAATTACTCCTTTGTCTTGAAACATTTATTGGGCCTCCTGTCAGTGTGTGGTAGTGAATCTTACTCTCAAATCAGTGATTCATAATTTCTGACTTTGGAACCACTTTGGCTCCAGGAGCAATATCATATTTGACATTAATTCAAAATTGATCTAAAATATTTCAGTGTGCCATATGGCTCTGTTCTTTGGTTTGGTGGATTTATTTTTTTCTCTGTGGCCCAATGAAGAAAGGGCAAGAGTGGCTTTGGATTGATATCCTTAGGAGGCTGGAAGTCTTTGCAGTTCTGTTATCTAGACAAATGCTGCCAGTACCTGGAGGTAGTGCACCTATCAGAGGGCAATAATAATAGCCAGCAGCTAGCTACACTAGTGTGGAGTGATCTCTGAGTGATGGTTTTATGATACTGATATGCAATTAAAAGCAGAAGTTAGTTTCTTCCTGAGATGCCTTTTTGGCTGAATGTTACCATTTTTCCTTTCCCCAAGTTGTACAGAAAAGGGTCCTTCTTTATTTAACTGTACTCTGCATTCTACTCTTCCTGTGTTGGGTTTCTACTAGAGTAAAACCTAGAGAGTGTTTTTATTGGCATCCATGGAGGCCACCAAGTTTAGAGTGAGGCAGTCCAGCTACTCTGGGGGGAGGGGGACGTTGAGGACCGTGTTGGATGCAGACCTTCTAGTTCTGTCCCCATGCATCCGGCCTGGTACTGCACTTTAACTGAAACTGTGCCTCTGGTCCTTAGACCAGATACTGGAGCATATCACTTGCCCACTCCTCTGTTATACTGAAGGACCAACTGGGATGGTACATGCTGTGTAATCTAACACCTAGAAGACAAGTACAGTTGATGTTTCTCACTGTTGCCTTATCATTATCTGAGCCATCTTTGAAGCTGATCTTGTAAAAAAAAATAACTAGTTAGTAGCAAAACTTTTAAACACAGCTTGTATGTGGTGGTCATGCAGCATCTTTATTTCTAGATTCGCATAAACTATCTACTGTAATCTTTCTTGCACACATATGTGGTCAGACCCTTCCTAATCATGAGTCTGATTGAAAATATTGAACATATCCAAACTGATGTTATTTGGGATGACTGCATAAGAGATATCTTAGCGATTTCATGTGATAGAAGACAACTTCATTTGTAATGTAATACATTTTCTAAAAAGATGATCTTTAACTTTGGGTCTGTTGTGTGTACAGCGATGTACCATATTGTTTCATAGGAACTTAGTATCTGATCCTCTTAAATCCCGTCTTCACTTTCCTGAGACCTCTCTGTCCTCCCACCCTGAAGTCTTTTTTTTTTCTGGTACCTGGAATAGAACTCAGGACCTTGTGCTTGCCATGCAGGCGCTGTGCCACTGAGCCCTATCCCCGGCCCCACCCTGAAGTCTTAAAAAATCATTTTCATCTGTGAGACGCTAGACTTGACTACAGTGGTAAACTTCATTGGGGAGCTGGACTGTTGATCTTCCAAGAAGAAAGGGACCAGACAGTGTTGCTTAAGATGCTGCAGGTGTGTTACTGTGAAGAAAAGATTTGCTTCCACTTTCAGCAGGTTATATATCTATATCTATATTTTCATTTTGGTAAAAAAAAGGTTGAAAAATCTGAGAACGTAATTACCTTCACAAATTATTCATAGATACACTGGGTGAGAAGCTTACCATAGGGCAGTCACTAGGAAAAAAACTAATTTTACTGCTTCAATAGTATAATGTCTGTGTCTATTATCATGCCAGCAAGGTCTGCTGTGCACTGTGTCCTATTACTGTAAGTCACCTGGTTTATAATTCTAATGGAAACTAATTTGTTTTATAATGGAATCCAGAAAAGATATGTATAATATGATCCTGATTTTCCTACAGTTGTAAATAAGAATAGGTCCTGTTTATTTTGACATCTTTTTACAAGTGCATTGTATTAGGGTGTGAATATTCTGAACCATGCTCTTGTTTAAAGTTTTGAAATTTTTATTGTTAAATGTAACATTTTAATGGTTGTAATAATTATTTGTATAGATATGAATATAGTATTTTATTTAAGAAAATAAAACTTTGCATTTTTTTGCATTGTGAATTGTTTTTTTCCTGATCATTACATGTGCCATTTTAAACCTACCTGCCATGCATATTGAAGTATCATATTCAAGAGTTTTAAATTTTGCCTCATTTCTGACAATAATCCTGTGACACGTTTGCAGAGTTTATGTTCCTAATCAGTCAACCTCAAATCATAATTATCAAAACTGCAGTAAAACTTGGATTGTGAGTAACTTGTCCTGTGAGTATTCCATAAGATAAACAAACATTCCTAATAAATTTTAACTTGATAAATGAGCGATTTCTTAAAATAGGAGTAGAATGTGATGCTAAATGTTACATGATCAGCCTGTGGTCCACCCACCCCCTTTTCTATATCTGTCTTTCTCTCTGTGGGATGGTGGGTGATCATCTCCCCAACAGCAGGAGGTTGTGGAGGAGATCTCATCTGGAAAAAAAGAGGAGAAAAAAGCAGAGGAATGCCTTCAAATGAGATTAGGGGGATGTGCTGAATATGGGAAATAATGCACAATTTTGTAGAAAAACACTGTGTGAATAAGGCTATAGCAGTGCGTAAGAGAAATCTGTTTAATGACAATGCAATGTCACATTTCCATGAAATCTCCAAAAGGATGCAAAAGCAAGTGTCACTGGATAGGTTCTTCGTTGCAGTTGCCTGCAAAGAAAAATATTGAGCCAGTGCATAGCAGTGAATCTGTTAGTGAAAGTTGTTCTACATAGTAACCCTCCTCTCTCTTGTCTCCCTCACACCAACCACACGTTTTCAAAGGTAAGTGCAGGTTAATTTATTTTTCTTTATATTTTGTATTTTCTTTATTTTATATTAAAAGTATAATCATTTTCATATGAATTTTTGGGTTGTGGAACAAATCATCTGAGTGATGATATGGGGGAATTTGCTTTGATACACAAGTCCTTTAGATTACAAGCATGTTTCCAGAAGGAATTATGCTCTCAAACCAAGATTTTATTGTTTATTGTTAGACCAAACTATATGT